TGGCAACTGTGATGGTGGTGGAGGTGGGGGTGGAGGCGCACCAGCAGATCCCGCCAATAATAATATATTTAATTAGTTAACCATTATCATTATATGTAATATAACTGTAAATTTAAAAATTAAAAAATATAAATAAATGCAAAAAATATAAAAAAAATTATACCATGTTTCCGTGTCTCTCTGCGAATCCCTCTGAATTTTTTTGCGTTTTTTGTTTTGAGATTGGAATGAAGGAAAAGAAAAGCGCTGGCGGATTTATAGACGAGATCAACGGATGTCCGTTGATATATGGTGATCAAGGGGAATCCGTTAATATTTTCTACGGATTTCAAGACGTGTGTTGATGTAAAAGATCATAAATATCAATCGTTGTTCAGACACCGCGGATTCTATTACAAAAATGGACTCAGGTATGATTCGATACTATTTTATTTTTACGATTCTATATGTTAGATTCATGGTTTATTTTCGTATATCCAAAAATACGGTGTTATTAAATCGATTAAAAAATAACATTTTATTCTAAAATTCTATAAATTATAAAGTTTTAAAATATATTTTGTAAATAACTATTTTTAGACATTTCGGCAAATTTCGTCTAATTTTTTAAATGCATTTTTCTCGATTGGTTAAAGTGTCTGTTTTGATTATTTTATGTGTATATATATAGTACCAAATCTTTAATATTTATATGGCCCGATTAAAATATTTTTATCATGAAAAATTCTCACAAAAAATTATATCCATTTTCTATAACATTTGAAATCAAAAAATTTAATTTGATACATTTATATATATACATATATTAATAGATGTTTAATAGTACATATTATTTGAAAAGATAATAGATTAGAAATTGTATTTTTAATTTATATAAAATTTAAATATATATTAGAAATAATGAAAACTCAAACTAAAATTAAATTAAAATATAATTTAGATTTTTAAAATTTTCTTAAACTTTAGATATATGCATCTTTTTCTCTATATTATAACAAAAAAGTGTCGTGTTTTTGTAAATATATTGTGTCAAATTTAAAAATCTATTATATATATATATATTTGTGTCGGTTGCGGAATTTTTTTAAACAAGTTGCTTACACAGCACCGAATGTATACACTTAGAAAGAGACATGTGTCCTATCTTGTGGTCATATTTGCCTTGAAATTTTGTAAAGAAGATTCCCTCGTATATTCCTCCTTTAATATGCATAAAATATTATTCCTTTGTATTTTATTTGGATATCCATGTCGGATATTCCAATTTTAAGTAATAACAAAATATTTCCAACATTCATCATGTTTTTATAACCACAAGTGAAATTCGTAATTGTCAATTTTTCACAGGGGTATAAAACAAGTCCGACTCGCATATTGGTTTGCTCACCCTTATTTTTTTGAGTCGCACTCAGAATATAAAAAAAAACGGATCAAACAAACTAACTCGCCATGAACCGGGTTGGTAGTGGAGAAAAAGTATTTTTTAAATTTTTAATATTTTTATATATTTTTAATATTTTTATATAAAAAATATATTTTTATTAGATATTTAGTTTGTTTTGTCTAAAATTTTAATTTTTTTATTATATTTCAAATATTTTTTAAATATTTAAAATATTTTTTAAAATTATATATTTGACTCTCATACCAACTCGTTTGACTCGTGAGATAAAATGATGTAGGTTGGATTGGTCTATTTTTTATTCGTTAAAAAATAAATTAGATTGGATTGAACTAAAATATTTCTAAATCGAAACGAGATGGGTTGGACTGACCTGATCAACCCGTTTTATACCCTAATTTTTCACAAACAACGTCATCTCCACTTCCATTTTCTTCCTTCTTTGATTCAAGTTAGTATTTATATTTTTCATTCTTACTCCTGTTATTTTATTTTTTTTTAAAGATGGACATATTATATTCTAAATCATATTAGTTTTTTTATTATTATTAGAACTGCAACCATTATTTTTCGGATCAAAAGAGGAACTCGTTGCATAAAACAACAAATTGTAAGTGACAAAAAAAGGATAATAACATAGAAATGCCTGAACTTTTACAAAAATCTCATATAAATATTTGAACTATAAAACTTCCATATAAATACCTGAATTTTTAAAAATTCTATATAAATACCTAGACTTTAAAAAAAAATCAAATAAATAAAAATTTCAAATATTTTTCAAATAAAAATAGGTGATATTATTAACATATTTTGGATTTATTTGGAAATTGTTCAAAATTCTAGGTATTTATATAGGACTTTAGAAAAGTTCCGATATTTATATGAAAACTTTATAGTTCAGGTATTTATGTGGGATTTTTATAAAAATTAAGGTATTTTATATGCGATTTTTTTCGCTAATCGCATATAAATACCTGAATTTTTACAAAATTCTCTACTAAATACATGAACTATAAAACTCCCAAATCAATGCGAACTTTTCAAAATTTCCATATAAGTACCCAAACTTTTAAAAAAATTCCAAATACAACAATTTTTGTTGACGCCGTTAATCGACGAAATGACGGGATTTCGTTATAAATTAAACGGCGTTTATGAAATTTAGTTGTATTTGAAAGTTTTTTAAAAATTTAGGTATTTATATGGAAGTTTTGAAAAATTCAGGTATTGATTTGGGAGTTTTATAGTTCATGTATTTATTTTGAAATTTTATAAATTATTATGTAATATAACTATATGATCGTTGGGATACTAATACGTACACATATCGATTATAAAAAAAATGGAAACTAAAATATACAGATATATAAATTTAAATACTAAAATTGCCGAAAATAAATTTGATTAATCCTATATTAGATTATGTGCTTGGATAAATAGTTTTTACTGCATATTCATAACAACAAAAAATAAACTATTTAGGGAGGATCATTCACAGATTTCTTAAATTCTCTTTTTAAAAAGATCTAGTTATATTGAAAACTCGATAAATACAAAAAAAAAAATGTAAATGTGTACTAGATCGGTCGATCATGACCAAACAAAATCTGAACAATACTAGAGTGTTTTTTAGTGTTTGAAGAAAAACAAATTTTTTTCATGGTTTTTTGCACATTTTTCATGTTGTATAATTATTATGTATACATATAACTATATATTTTAGCAAATGTTTTTTTAATCTTTTTCTTTACGCGTACATAATTAGTTTGAAGTTATTTGTATTTTCCTATAATAAAACAATTCTTTTTTTTTGTCTCCTGTTTCACCCCAATAAAAGGGGGTTTCCTCTATGCGTTTCCCCAAATACCAAAGGAAAAAAAAAATTAAAAAGAACATATTTCCCCTCTCTCTCTCTCTCTCTCTCTCTTCGCGGTGAGTTTTCCTGTCCTTTGATTCGATTGATTTGTCCTTTGATCAATGTTTCATGTTTTCGCTTCAAATTTAATGCTTGATTGTTTATATTCGATTTTGAATCTGAGATCATCGAACCGTTTGAGTTTGGGGATCGATTACTGTTTTCCAATGCCGAAGAAAATAAGTCGTCGTTTCTCGTCGGTTACCAATGGAGGGGTCGTTTTCATGGTGGGCAATTCTTTGCACATCGGAGAGACGGCCCACGCCAACAAGTCGCACTTTCTTTCTTCCCTGACGATTTTGCCCCTTGTTCTATAAATGTCCATGTCCAAACTGTTTCTTTCTAAAAGGATCGCTTTTTTGTTTGTGTGTTCGTGGGATTTTCGGTGGGTCTTTTGTTGAATTTGAGAAATTGGGGGAAATTGCTTTTCGAATGCTTTGAAGCTGTTATCACCATTATTAGTTCTGCTTTGAAGGAACCAAAAACATCCAGATTGTTTGGTTGGTTTGATAGAATTAGGGGTGGAGACCTTTGGGGGTGGGTTTTGTCGTGTGTTTCTCGTGATTTTGCAGAGTATTTGGTCAAACTATATGTCTATTATCTGTAGTTTTCAACTTCTGTAATGTTTAATTTTTTTTGTAGTTAATTAGATTTTTTACTTGAAAAGTTTCCCGCAGAGAAACGTGTTTGGTGGGAGAGAAAGAGGAGGTTTGACTGCCATCGGGCTGTCAATGCGGAAAAATTGACAGCCCGATTTGGGAACAGCACACGGAAACTTCCTGGTAAGGGAAAAGAACATGTCCCAAGAATTTTGGAATTGTGCCAAGTTTGACATTTTTTGAAGATTATTCACGTATTTTACGTTGTTTTGTTGTAATTACACCATGTCATCTATATATATGTGTGTATATATATAACGGATCTTTGTGCTGAAGAAGAGCTCAATGCCATTTTTTTGCTAGATTCGGTTTGAAAGGCCGATATGGGTTCTCTCCCTGGGATAATTCAGCGGCCATTGGTTGCAGCAGCTGCCGTTGTTGCAGCTTCTTTTT